CCGAAGTTTTAATCCGCAGCACTAATTCACCCCCCCCTCTTAGTGCCGCTCCGATCCTAACAGATCCTTCTCACTTGCGCGTTGGCGATTCTGGCTGATATTACCAACGCGTCATCATGTTCGGCTGGTTCAGGTTCCCCGGTCGGGAAGGTGACTTCGGGGCCTTTTTCATGTTTGGAAGCTTCAGCCCGGGAGGCCCTGGCGTATGCCCTTCCGCCCGCCATAGAACTCCCTCCGGACGCTGGTCCGCCGGTTATGACATCTATGTGTCGCTCGATGGGGCCCTCCGGGCGTGGCGAGAGCTCCTTATCTGGTCGGAGGTATGAGCCGAGGTGCCCTCGGCGGATGAGCTCCTCAATTTGCCTTTTTAGTTCTCGACACTCCTCGATGTCGTGACCGGGCTGTTGGTGGAAACGGTAGTATTTAGAGCGGTCCGCGAGTTCGCGCGGGCTCCTCATCGGGTAGGGGTCTTTGAGAAGGCCTTTCTCCTTAATGTGGAGAAATATTTCGGTCCGAGAGGAGTTCAGGCCCGGGGGAGGGGACCTAGGTGCCGCATCGTTGAGGCCGCCGGCCCTACGCCGGGAGGTAGCGGGCTGTTGTTGTTGGGACTGCTCTGGCTTGACCCTCTTGCGCTCGTCGCGCTTCCCGACCATCCATGCCTCAGCAGCGATGTACTGGTTCGCACGCTGCAACATTTCGGGAACCGAAGTGGGGGGTCGCTCCACCAGAGACCAAAAGAATCGGGTAGGGCGCAGGCCCATCATGAATGCCTGCACCATCAAAGAAGGGTGAGCATCAGACAGCCCGCGGATTTGTGTGGTGAAGTGGTTCACAAAGTGAGAAAGGGGCTCATCCTCCCTCTGGTTGAGCCCGAGGAGTATCGCCACCGACGGCTTCGGCTTGGCCTGAGCCAGGAAGTTAAGCTCAAAGTCCCTGGCCAACTGGTCGAAAGAGGCTATGGTCGCGGTCTTCAGATTGCTGTACCACGCTCGGGCTAGGCCCCGTAGGGTTGTCGGGAACGCCCTGCACATCAGGGCATCGGACGTCCCGTATAGCGTCATTTGGGCGCGGAAAGCAGCTACGTGGTCCGCCGGATCGGTGGCACCGTCATAGGCATCTAATGACGGGAGCCGAAAATGCGGCGGGATTGCTTGCTCTTGAATCTCGGGGGTGAAGGGGGACCCCTGGTGTTGCTCAGCCCCCGGGTCTCCCCTGGTCCGGTGAACCTCACGCTGCACCTCGTCCAGCCGGCGGCCTACGAGGCGTAGCTGGGCCCACAGGCCCTCCGCCGAGTCTGAAAGTGGGGCCACGGGCGTCGGGTGCGCCACTGGTTCCTCCGCTCCTCGGCTCCCGGGTTGGGTCGATTGGTCCGAAGGCGAAACGGGAGACTCGGGGAACGGTGCGGGGTTTTGAGCGGCGGGCCGTTGCCGTGGTGGAGGTAGGATTGAGTGTGAAGACGTCGGGGGAGAGACCAGCGGGATGATGGTCTGCATCACTCCCGTAAGAGCCCGGACCTAGTGCGTAAGGTCGTAGAAGGCTTCGGGTGGCACGGGTGACGGGCCACCGGGATTGGCGATGGGTGGCGATAGACCCGGATCGTTGAACAATCGCCAATAGCGCTCCGAGATCGCAGCGGGGCGCTCGTCCCGAACCCCCTCCTGTTTGGGATGTTCTTCCGTTGCGTCGGTCGTGTGCGACCGGATGGCTGGGGGTCCGTCGGAGTGAGCCTGTTGATCGCTTGACATTCGGACCGGCCCTTCTTCTAGCGCCATTATGTTAGGGTAAACACCCTTTTTTTCTTAGCCGTGACCCGGGAGGTCGTCTCAGCTTGTTCGGGGGTCCGAAAGGCGGGGATCTCCCTGGGGCGATGCTCGTCTCCGCTGAGGTGGTCGGGTGCAGCCTCGGACTCGGGGCGATGTGGCGACTTCCTCCGGGCGGGGGCTCCTCACCTGCGCGTCCCGGACGGGAGACCTCGGCTTGACACCTGCACAAAGGTCGGGTCGGCTCGACCCGACCCCTCCGACGATCAAGTTAGAGAGATGCGGTGGCGATTGTTCGGGGAGTCCAGCTTATCTTCTTCCCTCTGGCTAGGGGACGTTTATAGGGGGACTCGGTATTACCGAGCCCGTCGCCCCGTCGGACGGGGCCGTACCCCTGATGGCGTCCGACATCGCCGAGGATGTTGCGTAGGGGATTGGGGAATCGCAGGGTATGGGCGAGCTCCAACCGCTACCTACCTCTGTCTCGTCCACCTGTGCCGGGTCAACTGAGGGGTTGC